TTGTTTCGTTCGCTAACCCTAACCCAACATTGCACAGGGGTTACTCCTGGCTCATGCACTCAGGAATTCTTCCTGGTGGTGCTCGAGGAACCATATAGAATGCTGGGAATCGAACCCGGGTCGGTCATGTGCAAGGCAAACGCCCTACCCGCTGTGCTATCACTCCAGCCCCTTCTTTGTGTTTTTTTTATACAAATTTATTTTTCACCATCATGATCATCCTGTTGTTCGTCGATTGCCTCGAGCAGGCACCAGTAAGGTCTCCTTTGCCGTAGCTCTGAGATTTTATTTATTTATTTATTTTTGAAATAAATAGATTTTATTTGGAGGATTTTTAGGTGCGAAGGGGCAGAGAGAGAGAGAGAGAGAGAGAGAGAGAGAGAGAGAGAGGAAAGCATGAAAGTACACATCTCAAGAGGGGAGATGCGGGCGACACATGTGCTCGGGCACCACATGTGCTCGGCCATGTGGGCACAAGCAGCACATGGGCTCGGGCAGCATATGCGCAGGCCTGAGATTTTAAAAAGTGCCATATTCAAGGCTCCTTCAGGGTTAGGAGAATGAGACCCATCATTGTTACTGGTATTTGGCATACTGGGTACACCACGGGGAGTTTGCCGGACTCTGCCGTGTGGGCAGGTTACATTTGGTAGCCTGCCAGGATGTCCAAAGTAAGAATGAGATAATAAGATGTCTGGGTGCATCTTATAAGATAATAAGATGTCCCTTTGCAGCCACCACCATGCTGAGACCACTCTCCACACGCATGAAGGTACCGGCAGAGGAACAAAGGCATGCGGGTCCCGGGGCTGAGATCTCCAAGCCTGCTCGGATCGGGGCTGAGCATCCTCACCCAGATCCTCCATCTTCCAGTAGGTAGGGGTCACACACCCGCCAACTGAACCCCCAAGCCGTGTAATCCTATCAACGGCCAAGACCCAGAGACTAGAAAACCCAGCTCCCAGAAGAGAACCGCGCAGAGTCTCCTGCCCCCACGCCTGGCTGTCCTCGCCAGGGCCCCTTGGAGGGGGGCGGGTTGAGTTTCCCTCCCCGCCCTGAGCAGAGCCCTGGCAGCCGAAGACCTCCAGAAATTTATTTTTTAAAAAATTTTATTTTAATTTTTATTTGCTCAGGGCTTCCTCCTGGCTCTGTGCTCAGGGATCACTCCTGGCGGGCTCGGGGGACCAGGATGCCGGGGATCGCGTCCAGCTTGTCCACGGGCAAGGCAGGCGCCTTTCTGCTGTACTATCACTCCAGCCCAAGATATTTTCTGTGTTGTTTGTTTGTTTGGGAGCCACACCTGGCAGTGCTCGGGGGTTCCTCCTGACTCAGTGCTCAGGAAGCACTCCTGGCGGGGCTCGGGGGACCATATGGGATGTCGGGGATCATTTTCTGTTCTCTGCCATACCTCCCTAAATGTCCAGGTCAGTTTATACAGCAAATCTATTCCACGCATCTTTGCCAGTAATTTTTATTATCTTCGGGTGGGGGCAGGCAGTGCTCAGAAGGCCTGGAAACCACTTCTGGTGAGACTCCGCCAATGGGGCCGGAGTGCTCAAGGCCAGGGCTGGGCAGGGCAGTATTGCATGGGTCCAGTTGCACTGGGGGCTGCCAGGGTCACTCCAGCCATGCTCAGAGGCCTCCAAGGCTGTACCCAGAGGTGCTGATGGGTGGCATTCCACAGTCTTGAGCAGGCAAAGCATGTACCCCTGACCCGGCCTCTGACTCTGCTTTGACCATCACTTCTATGTAGTTATAAAAACTCACTGAGGGCCAGAGCCATAGTATAGTGGGGGAGGTGCTCGCCTTGCATGTAACCAACCCAGGCTCAATCCCTGGCACCCCACTCAAGCCACCAGGAGGGGTCCCGGAGTGCAGGGGAAAACCCTGAGCACTGTCAGGTGTGGCCAAAAATGAAAAAACAACAACAAAAAATGAGAGCAGTGGAGGTGGGGAAGAGAGAGAGGGAGAAAAGAAGAAAGGAGAGGAGAGAGAGGAGAGGAGAGGAGAGGAGAGGAGAGGAGAGGAGAGGAGAGGAGAGGAGAGGAGAGGAGAGGAGGGAGAAGGGAAGGGAAGGGGAAGGAGAAACTAACATTTTAGGGTATCATTTGTTTGTGTTTTTCATTGCTCAAGAAGTTATACACTATATTTTAACCAAGAGCAGCCTTGTTTTTGTAAAAAAAACAAAACAAAATATGTAATTATGCAAAATAAGCTATCATTACAAAGGATATTGTAGCTATTCATTAAACGTTGTCAAATGAATGTATGAAACCACAGGCTGGCAGACACACAGAGTCGTTACACATCTGGATCATAGAAAGGGTGAAACCAAAGGACAACACAGGGACCAGAGTCTCAGCTCAGCCGCTAAGCACAGGCTTTGCAGGCCAGAGAGCCTGGATTTGATTCCTGGCTCCATGGGGTCCCCTGTGGAGTAGCCCCTAAGCAGCACTGCCTACACTGAGTACTAAGTTACCCCTACCCCCCCCACACACACAGATACACACACACACACACACACACACACACACATACACACACACACGAGAGCAGTTACGAGGAGGCGAATGCCTAATTTCTCAGCTGTCACTAGCCATGCAGTCAGCTTTACAGCGTCAGATGCAGAATGAGGGTTCCCAGGGCTGGGATTAGGGGCACGGGGCTGTGTGGCCAGTGTGGAGTTTCAGTTCTGCAAAATACCAAGAGTGGGCCCTGAGCGATAGGAGGGTGGGGAGAGCGCTCTCTTTGCCTGCAGCTCAGGGGTTTCATCCTGGGCGCTGTCTGTGGTCCTCCGAGACCTCCAGCACGGATCCCTGAGTGCAGAGCCAGGACTAAGCCCTCAGCACTGCCCGGTGTGGCCAGAACAAAAAAGCCCAGAGCTCTTAGATTGGTTGCAGTACAATGTGAATGTACTTAATGTTGATGTTCAAGCTTAACATGCTTAACAGGACACTTTGGAATGATGGAGAGGTCCAAGCCATAGTGTGCAGGGGCTAAGACACTTACTTGCTTTGCCTGTGACCGACCCCAGTTCTATCGAGGGCACCACATATGGTCTCCTGAGCACTGCCCCAGGTCACTGCAGAGCACGAAGCCAGAAAGAACCTCTGGGATCTGCTGATCTACAAAGGTAAAGCAGATCTGTTGGTCTACAAAGGTAAAGCAGATCAACTCTGAGTGCATTTCCCAAAATTCAATACATATGTGTGACAGATTCACTTGGTTTTTATTCTTCTTTTTGGCTTTTGCGGTCACACCCGGCAATGCTCAGGGGTTATGCCTGGCTCTGCACTCAGGAATTAATTATTCCTGGCGATGCTTGGGGGACCATATGGGATGCCAGGGATAGAACCCAGGTTGGCCATGTATGTGCAAAGTAAATACCCTCCCTGCTGTGCTATCTATCACTCTGACCCCAGATTCTCTTGGTTTTTCACCCAGTGGCTATTTTTCTTGTATCATCACCAGGGTCCCCACAATTTCTCATGTTCTAGGAGACGCGGTGTGGATTTTTTTCGTGCAGAGTCTGACAGGCAGACCCGTGTAAGAGTGACAGCATGGCAGGCACGGCAAGCAGGGCGAGAGACATCACAGACCAATATCAGAACATTCCGTTTTAGTAGCTAACTGCTCCACTGTAGCAAAGCCATGCATTTAAGTTTTTGATTGGTTTGGGGGCCATGCCAGAAGTACTGGGGGCCACTGCAGGCAGAGTTTGGGGGTCACTCACTGGTGCTCAGGACACCATGCAGAGCAGAAGTCTCAACCAGGGGGGTCCTTGTGCAGAGCCGAGTTCCAGCCCTTTGACTCCATCTCCAGCCTAAGATTTAATTATTATTATTATTATTACTTTTTATTGAATCACCGTGAGATAGTTACAAAGCTTTCATGTTTGCGTTTTGATCATACAGTGATCAAACCCCCATCCCTCCACCAGTGCACATTCTCCACCACCAATGTCCCCAGTATCCCCCCTCCCTCCCAGCCCTCCCCCTGCCTCCATGGCAGACAATTTCCCCCATACTCTCTTTCTACTTTGGGGCATTATGGTCTGCAGTACGGATACTGAGAGGCATTTGGTCCTTTATCGACTTTCAGCACACATCTCCCATCCCGAATGATTCCTCCAACCATCACTGACTTAGTGATCCCTTCTCCATTCCAGCTGCCTTCTCCCCCAGCTCATGAGGCAGGTTACTAACAATGGGGCAATCTTCCTGGCCCTTATGTCAACTGTGCTTTAATTATTTTTAATAAGAAACAGAGGCAGAGCTAACAGGATCTTAGAGACTTGAACTTCCCACCTTAGAGATGAAGTGGTGAGACTAAGAAAGGTGATTTTTTTTCCACTTCCAGGGCAATCAAATACCTCCCTTTCCCATTATAAATAATAGCGATGTATGGGGTACATTCATTTTATTGCCCGAGTTCGATTCCTCCGCCCCTCTCAGAGAGCCCGGCAAGCTACCGAGAGTATTCGATATGCCAAACACAGTAACAACAAAGTCTCCAATGGAGACGTTACTGGGCCCACTCGAGCAAATTCATTTTATTATTTTTATTTATTTATTTATTTATTTATTTTTGCTTTTTGGGTCACACCCAGAGATGCACAGGGGTTATTCCTGGTTCATGCACTCAGGAATTACTCCTGGCCATGCTCAGGGGACCATATGGGATGCTGGGAATTGAACCCGGGTCGGGTCCGTACAAGGCAAACGCCCTACCCGCTGTGCTATCACTTCAGCCCCAAGGTACGTTCATTTTATAGACCAGCCAAATCCTCGATCTCATTGGTCAGAATGGATCACATGACCCATCTGTCCTCCAGGCTGCAGGGAAATCAGGTACTGGACCCAGTGATAGGCAGTGTCCCCCTAGCAGGGTGACAGTCCCCTCCCAGGGACGGAGGAGTCTGGTCATCCCTGGCAAGGATTCTGCAGCACCTTGGATGTGCTCACTAGTGTGCTGTTTTCTTTCTGGTCCGGGTGTTGCAGGCTGGGACCCATGGCTATATGGCCCCTGAAATCCTCATGGAGAAGGCGAGTTACTCCTACCCCGTGGACTGGTTTGCGCTGGGCTGCAGCATTTACGAGATGGTGGCCGGGCGGACGCCGTTCAAAGACTACAAGGAGAAGGTGACGAAAGAGGACTTGAAGCAGAGGACCCTGAGGGACGAGGCCAGCTTCCAGCACGAGAACTTCACCGAGGACACCAAAGCCATCTGCCGTCTCCTCCTGGCCAAGAAACCAGAGCAACGCTTGGGCAGTAGGTAAGTGACCTCAGATGGCACAGCCACCAGGCTCAGCACTGTCCAGGGCCACCTGGAGGGTATCTTGGATTAGGGACGGAGCTGGAATTAAGTGGAGGTCACAACTATCCTTCTTATTGATTGTCTGTTACATGGGTTACTATTTCCCATGCTTTTAGACACCAAGGAATACAGTACAATCTCATATCTGTGGCTATATCTACGTATATATCTGTGTATATATATATATATCTATAGATATAGATATATATCACTGTCACTGTCCTCCCGTTGATCATCGATTTGCTCGAGCGGGCCCAGTAACGTCTCCATTGGAGACTTTATTGTTACTGTGTCTGGCATATCGAGTACGTCACGGGGAGCTTGCCAGGCTCTGCCGTGCGGGCGAGATACTCTCAGTAGCTTGCCGGGCTCTCCGAGAGGGGCGGAGGAATCGAACTCGGGTCGGCTATGTTGGCTGCGTGCAAGGCAAACGCCCTACCACTGTGCTATCGCTCCGGCCCTGAGACTTGTTGTTGTTACTGTGATAGGCATATTGAATATGTCACAGGTAGCTTGCCAGGCTTTGCCGTGCGGGCGAGATACATATGTGTGTGTGTGTGTGTGTGTGTGTGTGTGTGTGTGTGTGTGTGCTTTTTGTTTTGGCTCCACACCCAGCACTGCTCAGGGGTTACTCCTAGCTCTGCACTCAGGGATCACTTGTGGTGGCCTCAGGGGACCCTCTGGAATGACAGGGATCAAACCAGGGTGGGCTGTGTGCAAGGCAAACACCCTACCCACTATCCCTCTGGCCTAAATTTTGTTTTTTCTTTTGGATCACATCCACCTGTGCTCGAGGGTTACTCCTGGCTCTGCGCTCAGGAATTATTCCTGGTGGAGTGCTGGGCATCAAACCCAGGTAGCTGCATGCAAGACAAGCATCCTACCTGCTGTACAATCATTTAGGCCCAGATCATTTTTTTCCTTTGGCTTTTTGAATCACACGCAGTGATGCTCAGGGGTTCCTCCTGGCTCTGCACTCAGGAATCACTCCTGGCAGTGCTGGGGGACCATATGGGATGCTGGGGGTTGAACCTGGGTCGGCCGCATGCAAGGCAAACGCCCTACTCACTGTACACTGTACTATCACTCCAGCCCCTTTAATTTTTTTTTCAGTTTTTTTTTTCTTTTTGGGTCATATCCGGTGATGCTCAGGAGTTACTCCTGGCTCATGCACTCAGGAATTACTCCTGGTGGTGCTCGGGATGCCGGGGATTGAACTCTGCTCGGCCATTTGCAAGGCAAACGACCTCCCCACTGAACTATCACTCCGGCCCCAAATCATTTCATTTTTTATTTTTTTATTTTATTTTAATTTTTTCCCCTTTTTGGGTCACTCCCGGCGATGCTCAGGGTTTACTCCTGATTCTGCACTCAGGAATTACTCCTGGCGGTGCTCAGGGGACCATATGGGATGCTGGGATTCGAACCCGGGTAGGCCGCATGCAAGGCAAACGCCCTATCTGCTGTACTATCGCTCCAGCCCCATCATTTCATTTTTTAAATGAAAAAAAATTGTTTTAAAATTTCTGGGTTGGGGCCACACCCAGCAGTGCTCAGGGCCTCTTCCTGCTTCCCTGCTCAAGCTGATCCCTGGCTATGGGACCAGATGTGGCCCTTTCCACACACAAAGGGGGTGCCCAGAGAGCACCGTGGTTGTGAGCCCCACAGCTGAAGTATGCAGCCCTGGGCAGCACCCCGGCCTCATGTATGACCTCCAGAGAGCGTGTGTCTGATGCAGCCATCCAGGTGTGGGGTGTGGTGTACCTCGCAAGATCGTAGAAAGTCCTGTGGGGTCTGGAAAACGCAGTCTCGACAACCCCTCCAGGAAAAGGCCCCTTGGAACACGAGACCCTCACCTGACACTGCCCGAGGATCAGGACCCTCTACGAAGCGCCTGTTCCTGTGACTGTTTTGAATAAAGCTGTTTATGCTCTAGAGAAACAGTCTGAGCAGAGGCATATAAAAACCAGCTGTGGGATGAGAGAGAGAACCAGCCAACGCTTTCATTCCGACCCTCGGTTTTTGTTATTGTTTTCATTCATTCCAATGAGATAAGGTTTCTGGGGAGTGCGCCCCGCAAAGTCCCGGGAACGCCTCCACGCTGTTCCCCGGCAGACGCCACAGCCCTGTCTTTGGAGAACTGATAAGCACTTGGTGTTGGGGGCCACACCTGCTGTGCTCAGGGACCGCTCCTTGGCAGGCCTGGGGGCTCTGGGGTCCCGGGCATCAGAGTCGGCTGCGTGCAAGGCAAGTGTCTCTGCAGCCCTGCCTCAGTCAGCGTTCGAAATAAAGGAAAATTCCTTCTCCCACTTTGCCCACCATGGAGATGAGATCCTTCAAGTGTTCATTTTCCAAGAAGCCAAACACTCTCTCCGAGCATCTCCTGGGGCTCCCAGGGGTCGGCTTTGGCGGTTGCTGGTAACACCAAAGGTGGAGTCTTGGCACCTTTTCAGGTTTGGTTCTGATCAGCCAATGCCTCTGAGTAAGAGCAAGTAACCGGGAGAGACTCATCAGCCCTGGTTTCAGGCCAGGACCCACTGTTCTGGGCGGTCTAACACCCCCCCCCCCCGCCCCCAACACACACACACACACACACACACACACACACATACACACACACACACACACACACACTGGCTCAGTGGTGGCCAGGAGTGTCTCGCCTCCAGTGGCTACTCACCCAAAGCCCATCTGGTACCCGAGAGTTAGGATGGCAGGGAGGGCGCTTGCCTTACACACAGCTGATCACCAGGCTCGATCTGTGGCATCTCAAATGGTCCCCCAAGCCCCACTAGGAGTGACCCATGAGCACAGAGCCAGGAGTAAGCCCTGAGCCACAGGTGTGGCCCAGAACACAAAAGAAGAAAGAGAGAAAGGGAAAGGAAGGGAGGGAGGGAGGAAACCGACCTTCAGGGAGGAATTGATGGCTCAGAGGCTGGCACAGCCTTTGTGGGAGGCTGAGGTTCAGTCCCCTACCACATGGTCCCCAGAGCACAGAGCCGTGAGTACTGCTCCTGGCTTTGGTTTGGGTGTGGCTCCCAAAACAAAACCCCGAGAGTCCCTGTGGAGCTGGGCAATAGTACAGCGGGAGGACGCTTGCCTTGCCGGTGACTGACCCAGGATCCATCCCCCACCCCGTATGGTCCCCTGAGCACTTCCAAGCGCTTCCTGAGCACAGAGCTAGGAGTAAGCCCTGAGCACTGCCGGGTATGGCCTCCCCCCAAAGAAAGAAAGCAAAATACACTAGGCAGCAGGATGCCAACGAGTTAAGGCCTTGTGTGAGGCCAACCCCCGGCACCTCCTGGTCCCCCCTGCAGCCCTGGCGAGCACTGTTAGAATGCTCTGGGGAGCCCTGACTGTGGGGTCCGAAACCTGAGGCCCCCCAAAAATTCACCAAAGCCAAAGGTGGGGCAAGGAGAGGCAGTACAGTGAGTGGGGCTCTTGCCTTGCATGCGGCTGACTCTGGGTCAGTTCTTGGCACGTGTGATAGCTCCAACCCCGCTTGGCGTGGTCCCTGAGCACAGAGCCAGGAGTACCCCTGAGCACTGTGACCTGCGACCAGAAACCCAAACTGGAGCATCCCTGGGAGAGGGCACGGGCGTTGCTCCTAGCGCGTGTCCCGCGTGGGGCTGGTGCCCGCCTCAGCCGCCCTCCTTCCCGCAGGGGCAAGTGTGATGACCCCCGGAAACACCCCTTCTTCCAAGCCATCAACTTCCCGCGCCTGGAGGCCGGCCTGGTGGAGCCGCCGTTCGCGCCCGACCCCTCCGTGGTCTACGCCAAGGACGTCGACGACATCGAGGACTTCTCGGAGGTCCGCGGGGTCGAATTCGACGACAGAGACAGAGACTTCTTCGAGAGATTCGCCACCGGGGCGGTGCCCACGGCGTGGCAGGAGGAGATGCTGGAGACGGGCCTGTTCGAGGAGCTCAACGACGCCAGCCGGCCCGCGGCCAGCGCCAGGTCCGCCGTGTGTGCGCTCCTCTAGGTGCTCCCGGGTGTGCGCTCCTCTAGGTGCTCCCGGGTGTGCGCTCCTCTAGGTGCTCCCGGGAGTGCGCTCCTCTAGGTGCTCCCGGGAGTGCGCTCCTCTAGGTGCTCCCGGGTGTGCGCTCCTCTAGGTGCTCCCTCCCGCGCCCCCCCAGGCCCTTCCGCGCGGTCACAGCACCCGGCCCGGCCAGTCGGAGGCCGGAGGGGCCTGTGGACACGCACAGACCCCAGGACGCGCGAGCCGCAGTCGGGGCTGCCTCCCTGCTGGCCGCCCCCTCCCTCCACCCCTCCCTCTGCTCCTTCCCTCTCCCCTCCTCCCTCTCCCCTCCCCACTCTCCACTCTCCCCCTCCCCCTCTCCCTCCACCCCTCCTGCCTCTCTCCCACCCTCTCTCCCTCCACCCCTCCCCCTTTCCCCTCCTCTCTCTACTTTCCTCCCCCTCTCCCTCCCCTCTCCCCTCCCTCCTTCCCCCTTCTCTCTACCTTCCTCTCCTCTCTGCTCCTCCCCTCTCTCCCCCTTTTCCCTTCCCCCTCCCCTCCTCCTTCTTGCCCTCTTCTTCCCTCTCTCCCCCACCCTTCCCCCCTTCTTCACTCCTTCCTCCATCTCTCCCTCTCTCCATTCTCCTTCCTTCCTTCCTTCCTTCCTTCCTTCCTCTTCTTCCTTCCCTCTCCCCTCCCTGCTTTCCTCCCTTCCCATTTTCTCCCTCCCTCCCTCCCTCCTTAACATCCTTCCTTCCTTCCTTCCTTCCTCTTCTTCCTTCCTTCCCCTCCAATTTCCTTCCTCCTTTTCTTCCTTCCCTCTCCCCTCCCTGCTTTCCTCCCTTCCCATTTTCTCCCTCCCTCCCTCCCTCCCTCCTTCCTTCCTTCCCTCCCTCCCTCCCTTCCTCCCTCCCTCTCTCCTTCATCCTTCCTTCCTTCCTTCCTTCCTTCCTTCCTTCCTTCCTTCCTTCCTTCCTTCCTTCCTTCCTTCCTTCCTTCCTTCCTCTCCCTCCCTCTCTCTTCTCAGAAAGATGAAGTCTCAGTTTCCCCTGAGCCCTGGGCAAGGAGCAGCTCGGGTTTCTTTTGATAATGGGAGCACAATCTCTCCACTGTTGTGTCCCTGAAGATTGCACAACCCCCCGGAGCAGAGAATGGAATTTTGTGGTGTACTCAGAAAATGAGTATTTGCGATCCTCAGTAAATAATTATTCTAGTTTTCTTTTGTTTATGTTCTTCCCCCCTTCATCTTTCAGTTGTATTTCAACAGCATCTTTCTGTTGCTGCTGCTGTATTTATTTATTTTTTTAAAAAAGAATTTTCAAGCTGAAAATAAATATTCCTAGATTCACCCATAAAAAGGAGTTGCTTGTAGTATTTTGACAATATTGGGGACACTGGGGCTGGGAACTGTGCACTGGTGAAGGGTTGGGTGTTGGAACACTGGAGGACTGAAGCCTAATCTTGAACAACTTTGTGAGGGTCTGAATCACCGTGATTCAATTAACTCTGTATTTTGGCAATATTCAGAAAACAGAACAACTTTTCTTTTTCTTTTTGAGTCACACCCAGCAATGCTCAGGGGTTACTCCTGGCAGTAATGGGGCACTATATGGGATACCGGGGATCGAATCCGGGTCGGGCATGTGCAAGGCAAACGCCCTTCCCGCTGTACTATTGCCCAGCCCCACGGAACAATTTTAATGTATTGAAGTGACTTTTCTTTTTCTTTATGCTTTTAGCCGCACCCAGTGGTTACTCCTGGCTCTGAGCTCGGGGCTCGCTCCTGGTGAGCTCAGGGGACCGTGTGGGGTGCTGGGGATCAGAGCTGGGTCGGCTGCGAGCAAGCAAGCGCCCTATTGTTCCCTCTCTCTGGGCACATGACCCTTCTCCATTCCACTTCCATTAGCCAGCGTGCTTTTAGGCACTCCCTACCCCCATAGTATTGAAGCATTTCGAGCATCCATATTCACAGGAGCGCCAGGATTCTGCAGGTGGAGTCGGTTAAGTAACTGTGTGAGCTGTGTCGTCGTATCCGTTTCCAAATTGCTGGACTTTGGGATCACCTACACATCTTTCCAAAACACCAGCATCTGGGCCAGATTAAAGTTCCGGGTTAAGGCACTTGCCTTGTACCCCTGAGACCCAGGCTCCTGCAATACATATGTACCCCCAGTTACTGCCAAGGGTCACTCCTGAGCACAGAGCCAGGACCACCACCCCCTTCCCCCGGCCAGCACCACCAGGGGTGTCTCCTGTCTACCCTGAGAGGTAGAACAGGGGGCAGGGCGCTTGCCTTGCACACAGCTGACCCACGTTCCATCTTTTGCACCTCATATGGTCCTCTGAGCTTCACTAGAAGTGATCCCTAAGCTTAGAGAGATCTTAGAGCTAGAAAAGAGCCCCGAGCACCCCTGGGTGTGCCCCTCAAAACAAAGCAAGAAAAAAAAGTCTGAGCCTGGCTTCCCTCTCTTCAACCTAGATTTAATTATTTTGGGGTACGGCCTGCATAGGGGAGCTCATCCCAGCCTCAACTTCCTCCTGGGCAAATCGGGGAAACCTCATGGGGCCAAATGAGCACAGAGGAGGGTCGGCAAGACAAAAGGGGCGCCGAGAAGCGCAGACCTGGACCAGAGATGCAGTGCCCATCGGGTTGGAGAGAAATGGGCAGAAGGCAAGTCCCAGGTGGGTCTGGTCTCCTGTGGCCGCTGCCCGTTCTCATGGCCGGGGAGGGTTTGGAGAAGGGCCCGTGTGGCTAGCATTTTTTTTTAATTGGGGTTTTGTTATCATTATCGCCCCTCTCAGAGAGCCCGGCAAGTTACCGAGAGTATCTCGCCCGCACGGCAAAGCCTGGCAAGCTACCCGTGACGCATTTGATATGCCAAACACAGTAACAAGAAGACTCACGATGGAGACGTTACTGGGCCCGCTCAAGCAAAATTGTCGTGAGATCAAACCTAGGCTCTGCTCTAGGAAGCACTCCTGGCCGGCTGGAGGAGCCATACGGGATGCCGGAGATCGAACCCCCAGGGGCCACAGACAAGGCAAGCACCTTGGCAGCCAGACTTTTGCTTGCTGATTTCAACAGTTAAAATGATCTCATGTTTTTTATATTTGAAAAAAAAAAAGGCATGGGGCTGGATTCATAGTACAGCGGGTAGAGTGTTTGCTTTGCATGCGGCTGACCTGGGTTCGATTCCCTGCACTCCATATGGTCACCCAGGGAACCGCCAGGAGGAATTCCTGAGTGTAGAGCCAGGAGTAAACCCTGTGCATTGCTGGGTGTGATCCCAAAAGCAAATAATAATAATAATAATAATAATAATTAGGGCGTTTGCCTTGCACGCAGCCAACATGGCCGAGCCGAATTCGATTCCTCCTCCCCTCTCGGAGAGCCCGGCAAGCTACCGAGAGTATCTTGCCCGCGCGGCAGAGCCTGGCAAGCTCCCCATGACATATTCGATATGCCAAACACAGTAACAACAACAAAGTCTCCAATGGAGACGTTACTGGGCCCGCTCGAGCAAATCGATGATCAACGGGAGGGCCGTGACCGTGACCGTGAATAATAATAATAATAATAATAATAATAATAATAAATTGTAAAAGGCTCTATAAACAATGAAATACCAGGGGAAATAAAGGTCTATAAAGACCTACTTGGGGGTGGGGGTGAATGCAGAGAGAGAGATCGTGGGGCTTAAGGTTCTTACCTGCCTGCCACGTACTCCATTTTCATCCCTAGCACCCCACATGAGCACCACTGGGAGTGATCTCTGAGCACAGAGCCAGGAGTCAGCCCTGAGCACTGCTGGCTGGGGCTCTCAAACCCCAAATCAAATCAAATCAAATCAAACAGACCTATACAAGTGAAACATTCAGATAAAGAACCGGGCAGAAACTCTCGTTTTGGTCTTTGAATTTGATGGAGTTTCTTTTGTCTGTTCAGTTTGTTGAGGCTCTGTCCTTCCCTTTGTCGGGGACAGTTTCTGATGTTTGTTTCTCAGCAGATCAGCGTGATAAGCTGCTGGCAGGCGCTTAGAAGGGCTTTGAGTACAAGGCACGGGCCCTGCTTTCATCGGAAATAGGGATGAATTGTTGATGTTCAGATTGCAAGCCACAAGGAATTAAGTCTTCTCCTCAGCTTGTTTGAGCATCAATGTCTCATTTAGGTGACCCTGCATAATGTGGAAAACAAATGTGAAATACTTCAGTCATTGAAACTTTGTGCCGTAGGAGTTGTGTGGGGGTTTTTGTTTGTTGCTTTCTTGTTTTGTCTTTGGTTTGAATTTATTTTTTTTAAGGGGGGCACCACATCTGGTGCTGGGGTCTGCTCCCAGCTCCAAGGGGGCTCTTGCCACCCATCCCCTCCCACCCGCGAATCATGGGTTCATCCCTGTGAGCTATTTCTTTGCCATCACTTACATGTGGGGCCCGAGCGATAGTACAGCCTGGTCAGATGCGTTCCCTGCACACGGCTCAATTCCCAGCATCCCATTAGCACCCTGAGCACCAGGAGTGAGTCCTGAATGTAACCCCAGGTGTGGCTCAAAAAAAAAAAAGAAAAGAAAAGAGGGGAAAAAAGGAAGGAAGGAGGGAGGGAGGGAAGGAAGGAGGAGGGGGAAATGAGGATTGGAGAGCTAGCTCCCAGGCCACCGTGTTGGCTTCACATGTAGGAGGCTGGGTTCAATGGCCAATAGCACACGTTCCCCCAAGCTCTGCGGGGTACAGCCCCAAGCTCTGAGAAGTCCCCAGTGTGAGCCCAGACAAAACCAAAACAGAATTTGATTATGTACAGGAATGCAGGACCTTTGGGTGTAGAGGGCTCTATTGGGGCTACGTCTCCTGTGTGTCCCCAAGGGCCACCAGCCAAGACTCCAGTCAGAGCCCGTGCCTCCCCCACACGGCGCCAGCAGGCGTCTGCGCTTGGGCCAGACCCCAACCACGAGCAGTGCCCGCCAGAGCTGGCCTTCCAACCAAACTCAGAGAAGGGGGCTGCATGGAGGGGCTGGCCTGTCTCACCCGGA